CGAAATGAATTTTTATAAGGATAAAAACGGTCAGTCAAAGAGACAACGTTAACAGGTAAACCGTCTTGCGGCTTCACACTACCGTTTTCTGTCTTTTGTCGTATTTTGTTCTCCTGTTGTGTTGTGATGTTGTTTTCATAAAATATATTTTCGGCCTTGCACAGTCTGTTACCGTTAAGCAATTTTAAGTAATTTTGAGAAGTTTTTTATTCAAGCATTTGTAGCTGATATAGTTTGATGGATTCTTGACTAATTGTCCTGTTTGCAGGAAGCACTGGATGCATTCAATGATTGGTTTCAACATTTTCACCACAGTGTACCAGTAAGTGAAAAAATATTAAGAGAATGACTTTAACTAACATTGATCCTCTAATCCCCACTTCAGAAACTGCAGGGAGAATCGGTACAAGCTTTAAGCGCAGTGATCTCTGGGATCGTTTGGGTAGACAAGCGTTATTTTTGTCTAGTCGATGGTGTGCAAGGCAACCTTAACCACCCATAAATAAAGCTTGTCCGTCTAAACTACTCAGAAATCGTTGCGCCGAAAGCTTGTACCTATTCCTCGTATAGCTTCTGGAGTGGAGAATAACCGCCGGGCCTTTCTATCCCAATAAAAGGGACGGTTTAATTAACAAATCGACCACAATTTTCCATGGTTTACACTCTTATAGACCATAGAAATGACGTCATAAAATGTTCAAAACGTAAGTGGAACCACGAGCCGCAGGCCGGCGAGTGGTTCACTGCAAACTTTTGAAAATTTTATGGCGTCATTTCTATGGTCTATAAGAGTGTGAACCATGGAAAATAGTGGTCGATTTGTTTTTTAAATAACATTTATTTTTTTTAGGAAAGACAAAACAACCGGCACTGCGTGACATGTTACGTCATTTCCATGGTCTATACTCCATGCATTTACCATAGCTCGCGACCAATCAGCGCGTGAGGATTCGCTCAGTTCTTGTAAATGTTCTTTAGTCTTAACTATTTGTTTGTGTGTTTGTTTATTTTAGTTAAAGCCACGCCACGAAGCTCATGCTAACTTCACGGAAAAGGTGGCGTTTGAACAGCGACTTAAGCAGTATGAGGTAATGAAGCTTCTCTTCCTCACATGTCAATAAGTCATTTCTTAGACCAATCAAAATTGGCCCGAATTTCACGATTTACTGACCGGTCAACTATGAAACTTTTCGGCCTTTTGCCTCTTTTCAGTGTGCATGCTGGATAACGAAATGTTGTGTCATGTATAATGAGTTATCATTTAGCTTTACGTGGTCTGAATGTTTTAAAACTGGAATCTTTTTCTCTTTTCTCTTAGGTTGAGTTTGGAAGATGGAAGAACTCATTGGATATTCATACAAAGGTAGGTAATTTTAGTATAAACACACTCTGGTAGTTTTGTATTGTTTCATGTACGTTCATTATTTTGTAGCAAAAAAATGAGAGGTTCGAAAGTTAAAGTTTGCAAGGGTTTTGTCTGGGTTGGGAGTGGGAAGGGGGATGATTGTCTTCCTTCAAGAGACTTTCTTGTATATACTTACTTTCTTTCAGTATGTTGAGGTAGCAGGAGACTTTTTTATTCTAAACTGCTGTAATTTAATCCATGCTGATTCACAGTTCATAGCTTATGAGTGCTGTTTAAGTGACGTCATCCAGAAATTTGCTACCATGGCAACGTGACGTAACGACTTCTCTTCTCTATAGCCTGAAAAATTAACCAACCTCTGCTCTAAGTTTGGTGGTTGTTAACGACCCACTCCAGTTAAGCATTGATACTATAGAATCCGAAGGCATTCTGGAGGGAGAGTGTCACCGCCTTATATATGCACCAACTCTTACAATGAATGATGATGACGACGATTAATTTATCGTCAGGTGGTAAATGAAATGTTTATACTTCACCCGAGTCCCTCCAGGGCTGCCCGCTATCGTTTAGAAACCTCCCCTTAATTCAACTCTCAAATAGAACACCTCTATGATATATACGTTTTAGGCCACAGTCGAGAAGATTTATAATGTCCTTTTGTTCCCTGATGGAGGATGGATGGTAGACCAAAGGCCGGTAAGCGTGTAGTCCTAGTCATCCAAACACAAAGGGCCAGTTATTTAAACGGGGCTAAGCCAGTGTTTAACAAAACCGCGGTCTAAGCCATTTTCAGGTTGCCCAATGCTTTTATCTTAACGCCATTTATCGTGAAAAGGTTCATGAAAGTGGAAGGCGTAGACTGGAAAAGCACTTATTTTCTTAGAATAACCCAATATGGAAGATATTCTCTGGAGGTCCAAAGATTTACTAAACCGCGGCCTAAGTTAGACTTCGTTTAAATAACCGACCCAAAATCTCTTTTCGTTTGTTCGCTTAGCTTTGTTAATATAAAGAAGTGCTAGAAGGAAGTAGCACTGATGTTGTGTACCAAGACCCATAACGATGCTGCAATCTGATCGTTGTAGGCTGCGCACATGCTAGTCTGAGGTGGATTGTGCGTGGCCGAGACAAAAGGCGACTTTTAAGATGTACTACGTGATTTCTTAGCTTTTTTCGTTATTTACGTAGTCTGCTAATTTTCATGCATGATAAATACTCTAAAAGTAGATAGAAAGTAGTATCAAAAGTATCGACGGCCTAGTTCGTATAATTTAGTTGTTAGTTTTGTCATTTTTGTAATGGATATCATTAGTATGGACGCATTTTTCAAAAAAAAAGAAACACCTTAAAATGTCTTTCCGTGCGTTGAAAGAAGTCTTGTATGACAATTGCATTATGCTCTGTATGGTCTGAACTGATGAGGCTTGTACATGCAGGGGATTCAGTCAAGTTAACCATGTAAGCTAACAGGGAGTCGTGTCCAATTTCTCCCTATAGTATGACTGGCCAATCAAAACAACGGTTATGAGAACAAAGAAAATGATCAATAAGTAAAAAAAGGTCTTAATTGTTAAACAAATTCTCCTCAAAAATCGCATAAGATTAGTGTGGAGAATATGGAAGTTGATATTAGGACTTGAAGGATTTAAGTGTTAAAGCTGGGGTGTGTTTGTATTCCGACAGGAAGAGGACAAGGTGGAGGGGTCCAGCCGTAGTCATCAGCTGGAGCTGTTAAGACAACTTTGTCTTCCGCTGATATGTATTTTGCTTCATAACGTGTTACACTCCACGGAACAATACAAACAGGTTAGTTTGTCCTCACTTCTACCTGCCGCATCGCCGTCGAACGTCCCTTCAGCGTTCACCAAAAATGCCAAGGATTTGTTAGTCTCTTGCAAGAGTAGAGCCACAGACCCTAGCCCTTCGTCTAAGCGAATCAAGGGATTGTGGGTTGTGTTTGGTATAATATCGGGGATTAGAGGTATTGGTGGGAACATGGTCACGTGAAAAACAAGTATAAATTAATGAAAAGTGTTCATTCATTCCGTGGGGTTTAAGAGTACGACGATAGGGAACGTTTAAAAGCAAAACAACAACTCTGCACGTGCATCACACTATTTGGTACGTAATTTCGTAGCCGTCATTGCACGACAACGACTTGAAATAAACACAAGACGACGATATCATTTCTCTTTTAGTTATCTTGGATATTGTCCTGAGAAATGCAACTATACCCAAAAAATTCGTCTTCATCTCACCGTCTTGGTTGCTTAAGCTCCGTACAGTCTAATTTGCACCGATAGAAGCCTTTAGACCGTACGTCAAATGTTCGCTTACGGGAGGTTTAAAACAATGGGAAAAGTTGAATGATTTCCTGCAAATGTGGCCGCGTTCGCAAACGGGAGTTTCCAATCATGGTGCTTTGACTGGCAAATTCGTGGCATTTTATTGAGGTGGTCGTACATGGAGGTTTCCTCTGTAAGGTTGTCTTTTGTGAAAACTTTTGTGGAATGTATATTGTGACCAGAGTAACTCTTGTGTTACATACTCTCATTACTGTTGTTTATAATCATTGTGAAACTGCAATAGTTAGCGGTAGCGACGTCTACCATTCCTTTTTTTCTTACGTAGTTTTGTAATTTTTGTTGCAGTGTTTGCAATTAGCGGATGTTATCTCCTCTGAACAGTATCAGCTTTACAAGGTATCGTTCTACCCTTCCATGTTCCATGTTTTGAGGTTATAAGTTTTAAAATGTCGACCTCGCTTTGTTTTTTTCTTGTTTTGTCCTATGTTAACTTAGCATGCAAGAAGACCTTTATAGAGCCGATCGTGAAGCTGTACGATCGGTTAATTTTAAAACACCTTTCCCGCAAGCAAACTTTACAGGTGAAGGGTTGGTTCCTTTAGAGACTGTTATGTCGCGTTTAACGCCAAATTTTGACGTTGCTAACTTAGTTCATAATAAAAGTTGGCAGACCGTAACTGAAGAGATTCAGGCGAAGGAAAACGTCTCGACCGAGTCCTCCTTAATTTAGATATTCCGTCGTTGCTCGCTTGTGTCCAGTTCGAGCAATTTGCTCGTTAAAAACTGTTACCGAGTGAATTTGGCGGATACTTTGCGCCCCGGATGCTGTTATCGTTTTGTTTTGGTTCACTGGATCTGCGTAAGGATAAGCGCGTGCGCCAGGATTCCTCGTGCGCTTGGACCGACGCTTTAGCATTTTTTCTTTAGCGTAGGGGTTCTTCTCTTCTGCTGTTCCCCTTTTTTCTTCCCTCCCTCTTTCTCCTGTTTATCAATTCGACGTGTCTTCTCTCTTTCTCTCCCATGTGAGAGCTCATGGCTGTGTGTTGCCAGGATTTGGCAGCCATGGAAACTGGTCTTCATTTATGAGCTGATTACCAATAGTGGAAGCTCCCGGATGTCTTGTGATGTCGTTGTTAAGCTTTGATTTTTGCCCAAACCTCAAATAACTATTCGCAAGTGGCATGATGTGAACTCTTAATAGCTATTTAAATAAAGTTGGAGTTGACATCGTTTGTAAAGCGCTATACTCTGCCCTCCCACAGGTGTTCAGGAAAGACGAGCTACAGAAGATGCTTTCACTATTCCGCGACACCTCGCTAGCTTTGCTGGGAAGTAATCTGGATCCTCTGGGTTACGACATGACCCAAAAGTCTTGATATCACAGCACAAGATCGGTTTTGAACCGTGCGAACGTACATAACTCGTTGCCAAGGTCATATCTATCAGCTCAAACGTTGGCTTGACAAAGTCATCACACTTAAGCCATAAGCAGCAGGGTTTTTGAAGCCGAATTTCACAATATCTTGGATTGGTTAATACCTATCACTTCCTTGTTGAAATTTTTTCAAGAGTGGTCTTTTAAAAGGTCACCTGATGTCTGTAAAGGGCTACTGGAGATCGTGAACAACTTACCGAATGTTACAACTGTTCGGTAAAATCATAGTTATTAGAGGAGACTGGTTATGAAAAGCGGCAAACATCAATGATAAAAACAACAGTGCTGCAGTTTATGTTGGAAGCACCCTGAAAGTGCACAATCCTTTGTTTTCTGTTGGCAAATTGTTACGGAATAAATTAATGCAACGTTTTTATTGGTCAATACAATAAAAATGATAGGAATTCTTTTGAACGTTGTGCACTTTCAGGTCCACAAAAACATATAACAAAGGAGTCTGACGGGTTTCATAACCATTCCACTCAATTAACTACGGTAAAATGTGCTAAACCTTTTTCATTTAAGTCGAGAACTCGTGAATAAAACGAGACTTAGCGCTTACAATGTAATAAGACGTTTGTAGTTTGTATACTTTAGTAGAGGAAATTAACGCGAAATAGAGGGTAAAATATAAAAATAAAGGAAATCAACGCGACGTTTACAGAGAAAAAAATGCTTGTCGACAAAAACAGGAACAAAGTTAAACGTATTCGAAATGAAAACTTTTTTCTTCGTACTTGCCCTAAACGTAGGAAGGAGGTCAAGTAAAGAAATCTGGCCATGACCAGGGTTCTGCAGTTTCACTGTTACTGGCGGATCTCCACCGTGATAAAATACTCCTCTTTCTTAGCTAGAAAGAAGTGTATCGAGAATTTTGGGCCAAAATAATGGAAATTAAGGTCGTGGAAATTAACGCTACACCTAATTAACTGCGCGGAAATTAACATCCACAAAAAAAATCGCGTTAATTTCACGGAGCTTTAATTTACAATAATAAGGTACTTTATTTTAATTTCTGGCAAATAAGAGTGTTCCTTTACTTTGAAAAGCGTGGCTGTATTAGCAAACAAACAGTACAGTGGCAAGTCTTTGCATCGTGAAAATGAGATTTTTATTCTATTAAGTTGTTTGTCCGAGGCCAGCCCCTTGTACCTTAATGTATTCGGCCCGTAATTTAATCCACACCTACATGAGAAGTTTTCCATAACAAGTTCGAGAAAAACCCGTCTTTTATTTGTACATAAAAAGCCTGTCCGGTTTGTTCCCCATTTACACGAGCAAGATGTTCGAGCGAGATGTTCCCGTCAGAATTGTCTAACCTTTCAAAGACCAGAAATCAGCGAACGCGGTTAAAGACACCAACTCAGTGACTTCAGTCGAAAGATTGATGCTAATGTTCAGGCTGTTTATACAAGTCAGAAGATCAAAGGGCAATTCAAACCAAAGGAACGTAAACTTCCAATTGTGGATCAAAAAAACGTTTATTATTTCAAGTGTGGTCTGTGCGGTGCAGACTGGCTTCACGAATCGACACTTACATCAACATGTGGAGGAACACAAGCGATCAACAATCGGCAACCACGTAAAGGATGCGCATGGAAAGGATCCGGAGACCATCCAGACACCATTCAGACACCATGACCAGTGCCGGATCCACACACCATTACCAGTGCCGAATCCTGACATTGAGATAAGGGAGGGGCCCGGTCTCTCCCAAAAATGTTTTCGGCCCTTCGGGCCTCAGTTTGGTCCAAAAATAAGGGGGGGGGGGGGGGGGGGGCCCCCCCCGCCCCCCCCCCGGGTCCCCCCCTGTTTACAACGGTTCAAAAATTAAAAAAAGTTTAAGGGCAAACCCCACTTTTTGTTTTTTTAAATTCTTTGAACCGGTCCCCCGCAAAGTTTTTTTTTTTCTTTTTAATTTTTTTTATTTTTTTTCTGTTTTTTTCCCCTTGCGCTTTTCGTTTTTTTTTCATTTTTTTATTTTCCTTTTTCCCGTTNGGCGTCGAAAGATTCCCTTACAGGACAAATCGCCGTGCCTTGATCAGTTAGGATTACTATTAATCTTATGTAGGATTAATATTAATCTGTCCTAATATTAGATCCAGTAATAGATTATTATAATCCATAACTGAGCTTTGAGCCGTACCTTAAACGATTAGGATTAATATTAATCTGATAAATATAATCCCACATAGCTCAAATTTGTACAAATGTCTCAATAAAGGCGCTTGTTCCTTTTCATTTACTTCTAGGCTCAACATCGCTATATACCAGCTCTAACATATGCAAGTGATCGTGTGACTGATGTGATCAGTGTTATGTCCCGTCAGTCCCTTGTTCAGCGTGTAATGTCTGCAGTTTGTCTGTCATAGCTCTGATCTGGATTATAATAGAGATTAATATTAATCTGGATGATTATTATTAATAATAATCTAATCCTTCTAATTTTTGCCGTGCCTTAATCTATTACTGGATTATAATACTCTATTGCTGGATTATAATAATCTATTACTGGATTATAATAATCTATCACCGGATTATAATAACCATATTATAATCTATTATTATTATAATCCACGGATTAATATTAATCCGAGTTGTCCTGCCCTTAGGACAAAACCTTATCGATCGTTTCTGACGCGCCCAGTGTATGGTTGGATTTTCTTGAGATCCCAGTGTACTTTATTGAGTTTTTTACATTTGGACTGAAAGAATGTGTTTTGGCCAGGCTCCACAGCAGCCGACGTTGATCTTCACATTAATTACTTATTAATCATTTTTAGATGCTGATTAGCATATCTATTGTTACTGTATTGTCTCCCTTTAACCTGCCTGGCCAGTGGCTTATAAACAATATTTTAAGAAAAAAGAATGCGCGATGCATGAACAAGCAGGGGACCCACTGATGTTCTGCAGAGTCAAACCCTTTCTAGTTCTGTCAGTGTCCATTTAGTCGGACACAGGTATTCAACGAACATTCGTTACCCATTAATATTTCGTTTGCATAAATAAATGTGCGGGTAATAAAACGTAGATGTGCATGCATTGTAAGGCCTGTCTCTCATGATATCAAAAGTAATTGAAAAGGCGGTGTTAGCCTCAGGCGGCGGCTTTTGGAGGTAACGAGCAGCCCATATCGACCGTGCATCTATTCTAATAATTGTCGTCATCAATCAATACGTGTTATCTGCCCGAGCGGGTGGTCTTTGTTTCGGGTGTGAACAATATGAGCTGAAACGTAGCGCTTTTGCCAGAGGCTGTAGAGTGGGCGTAACTTGCTAATACAATGGGTCTTCTTGCTCGGATAATTGCATCCGACTCTACTTCGGCCGCTTTTGCGAAGTTTTCCTAAGGTAAATGAACATACTAGAAAAATTCAAGCGTTTCTATGTGTAAGAAGATTGCACACCTTCTTGTTAAATACCTTCGCGGTCCGTTTGCTTTCATTATTCTAGTGTTCTTAGCCTTCTAATTATAACATAACCTTCTTTAATTTGTTGATAAAATCTTTTACGTTTTTATTTTACCTTTGTTCATTTCGCTGTTACAATATAATTAATATGCGATGGACTTCGACGGCCACTATGCATTCCTAACTCGTAGAGTATTCCGCCGGTTTTTGTTTACATCGGTAATACTCTTGATTTAGACTCTTCGGCATTTCAAGTTTTAATTATTTCCAGTCGTCCTTACTAATTTGTTAAAGTTTCTTTATATGAACCAATTTGTTCTCAGCGAGCTCTGCAGCTTATCTGTACAAATAATTTGTCTTGAGTTAAATAACAGTTATAAATTATCACTACCTTCATGAAGCTTCCTTCACAGCGGGAAAGTCTAAACGAACTCTGATCCAGACGTTGTTATTTTGGGTTATTTCTACTCCGTTTCATCGTGAAACCATTTTTTTCATCCAAGTCAGCGATGTTTTTGACACGCGGCTTTATCTTGCGACTTAATTTTTGTACGTTTTTCCTTTTTATAACATTCTGGAGAACTAAGACATTTGGCTTGAAAATTCTTGAAAGACCTAAAAAATTGTAGAAAACTTTGCGCTTTTAGTGTTTTTGCCCTTAGGTTATTGATAGTTCTTATGGTAAACGAGAAAGTTAATAATAAAGTTAATACTTTTTGCTAAATTTTCGAGACATTTTGCGTTGTTACATTTCCTCTTTGTGTTTTCGCTCTTCATTTACAACGTCCTTAAAAAAAGTTTCTCAAAAGTTTCAAACATGTTAATAACGATAGAAATTCTCGTGCTGAAGTCAAGCACCTATCTGTATAGACAGTGTTTAAAGATTATCTCTTCCTACTTTTCCCAGTGATGTTTATCTTCCTATCAGCAAATTCATTGTTTTAGAACTAAGCTCGTGTCCATGGGACGCTTGCAAAAAACGAAGCGAACTTAGCTTGTGGTTTGAGACAATTGTTAGATCTCCAGTATTGCTATGAAGTTGATTACCGATTTTCCAGTCCGCGCTTGATACTTTCTTCATTGATATTGTTTCCGGTTAACAATGTTTAGAAGGGCCAAATTGGAAATAGCTCAAACACAGTTTTGTTTATCAACCGTAATACTCGTTTAAGCAACCGGCTTCTAAGTGTAAGGATCAGGTTTTCTATAAATATTAAATTATTTGACAGACGGCATTCAGATGCAAAATCAATCTTTAGGTAACACTGTTAGCAATCTCATAACGCATCTTTAAGAGGCAAGTTCTCATTAACATCCTCGATCGCCCCTCCGTTAGAAATCATAGGTCCGTTGGCGTCGGATGACAATTCGCGCCCTGCCTGCGTTATGGCGTGTGTTTCGGCCATGCTCATCCACGTTGTACCTAAAGTAGGGTCTCTGTTGTCTCTCATAATTTTGGACCGGCATCGACGAAACAGTTTCCTGAAAGCGTTTCGGTAGGTTCGGTTTAAGCACGTGTAGATAATTGGGTTCAGACAACTATTCAAATATTCGAGCCATTTTGCTATGTTGAAGAAAGTGGTTGGTAGAGGAGCTAAGGAAGGGCTTGCCCATGATAGCACAACCATAAAAAACGGAAGCCAGCAGATGACAAAGCTTCCTATAACCACTGCGATTGTCTTTGCGGCTTTAATATCAGACGCGTAGTTTCTCCCGATGCGTTTAGCTTGATATCTAGCCACAAGGTAGATACGAGTGTACATAACAAGCATCGCGAGCAAAGGTAGAAAGAAGCTTACAATGGAGACGAAGTAAAGATAGTTCGGATATGGCCAGTCCAGATCAGGCGCGTTGATCAACCTTAAACATGATATAGCCGCAGCGTATAACCAGACGAAACCTATTATATAAATTACGCGCCGAGTTGTTAGGATCTTGGGATAGCTAAACGGAGAAGTGATGGCCAGCTGGCGGTCGAAGCTTACTGCTGTTAGGTTCATTATAGATGCAGTGCCACACAAAATATCCGTGTTGTCCCAAAATTGTTTCAGCTCCTTGCTGTAAATCCAATCGTTATCGGTTAGTTGTATTGTGAACCAGAATGGCATAGCGATGAAAGCCACCAAAATATCACTGACTGCTAAAGAGATGATGAAAAAATTGCACTTTGTCCGTAGATCCCGGAATGTGTAAAAGCTTGCCACTACGAGAAAATTTCCTCCCAAAGCCACAACGATTTGCAAGGCGACGAACACTGCTAGAACAATATTTGTAATTCCTGGGTTTATCTTGGCCAGTTGAGTAGGCAGAGCTTCTGTAAGTGCACTTGACGTCGAGTTTGTAAGTTTGGCTCCTGTAGCCATTCCTGTTTCAAAGAAACAACAATATACAGCCCAAATGTTAACAATTGTTAATCCCAGGCGATAAAACAAACAATGTCCTTGAGTGAGTTCTAAGATGATCGGTTCCAGCGAAACTCTTTTCGCCAGGTTTCTTTGTTAAGTAAAACCTGCCGCCTAAAATCTACTCTCGACATCCTGCGGAAAATGATGTCAAATCTTGTTTCTCTGCATGGGCAAGTAAAAAGCACGCATCGATGTGAAACAAATGGGTGCCTGTAGCTAATAACATGAAATCACCGTGAATTTGCATGATCTTGCAAACTACATTTACGGGTAATTTGCTCTTGAACAAAGCTACGTAATGTGCGGTAACTGATAAACAAAAGGACGCTTAAAGCCAAACGGGAACCTCTGTTAAATTGCTATTTGGCAGAAAAGTAATATTATAGATCTCAACTCTTGAGATTATTGTTGCGAAGCACACAACAGGGTATTAATAGAGTGGGTCCTGGAGTGCATAGCTAGAACAGCTTTATTTAATAAAGGTGAAAATATTCATTTTTATGCACGACAAGTGCACAGCTGTTGGTTCTGAAATATCCACTTACACGGTATAAGATTCTTGCTTAAATGTATTTTTAACAATGCCGGCCAACCAGGCCGTTGAGATTAAGTGCTTTGTCAGGTTGTTTGAGGTTAACGCAGAGTTTTCACCAGATTACCATCATGCAATTTAGAAGCCCTCCGATCCGATGACTCTTTAATTTTATTGCAATAAAACTGATCAAATTGTTTTGTTTTTTTGTTTCCCTTTTCTTTAGTGATACTTCTCGGATGATAAGTAGTCGCACGGTTATAAACATGGAAAAAAATACCAGATGTACCAGAGGAATAATTGAAAAAAAAAAAAATAGCATGCTTACACGGCCGGAATATACCACTTCAAAGAAGGGGCAGTATAATTAGAAAAGGACGTAAAAATTTAGGAGGTCAAGTGTGTAGCTCCTGTCCAAATATTGAATAGCGTTCCATTAAATATATTTGCATACAAACAGAACATTTGATCGTAATTTGTAATGGATTGTTCATCGAAGGCGGGCGGCGTCGATGAAACATGCATTAGAGGTTGCATTGATCACTCAAATCGCCATTTCCGGAGCTAGCTATTTTTTTCATTGTTGCTCAAACAGAAGACCACAGGAGCCATTAAGTGATCATTGTCGTAAATTTGTTTGGTTGTGTATTGTTTTTATCACCTGGGTTCCTTTGACTCGTTCAAACTATTCAATCTACACGGAACGCCCAGTTTTTGTAAAGTGAAATAGATTATTCACAGAAGTCTATTTTCTCTTAATCTTTTTTATAAGCGCTATTTCTGCTCTTCAGTGCTGTTTGTTGAGCTGGGTTAAGGAGGTCGGACACTTTATGACGGCTACACAATGCACCACAACCTTGCAGTGAAGTTCAGAAAACCAAGTGAATGATGTGTTACATAGGCTTCACAAGGTGTCCGGCTTAGCGCAGTTTGTCGTGTTCGTTTCAACCTCTACAGAGGCTGTAAACAGCCAACCTACCCAGGAGTCATCCCCGTCTCTGACCAAAAGGATCGCCGCCTCTAGGAACGAGATTGTGTATACAACCCAAAACGAAATACCCGGAAGCATGCGCAGAACGTGCAGTTCTGCATTTTCACTGGCCACTGTATTTGCAAATGCGACAAAGTATTGATGAAGTGACATTTCAATCGTTTTCTTCTCCAACACACATTTTAATACTATCGCCCAGTAACCCAAACCACTTTGATGCTGGTCCCATGGTCGAAAACGCAGAATACAGATACAGATACAGATGGTAGTTTGTTAATGAAATTGTGGTACGGCAGTAATATATATCAGCGCTTTATTGAATTACCTTCAACTGGAGTTTAAATTTTAAAAAAATACCCTAACATGTGACCAAAGAGAAGAATAGGAAAGCGTTTGTGTAGGTAACGGAGATGTACAGTCTATTAATTATAATTATTAAAAACTGAATCATTGGATAATACAATTCTAGAGCTCTGATTTGCTAAGCCATCATGGTACATGAGCCATAATACCATGGTCTCCGAATATGGTAACTGTGCGCGTTGTCTCAAAATTAAAAACAAACTGAAAAGTCGGTTGTTTTTACAAATAAAGTCGGGAAAAATTCTCCATATTTTGTGGGCGTTTTTAACAAAACAATGATTCCACTCGCGCTTGTTGGGTGTTAGATAATTATAGCCAACGAGGCGCTACGCACACTCGTGGAATAATTGTTAAATAGTACGTTACTGCTTTACTGATAGACAGAGACCTTTAGTGACCTTAAGTTTTCCGTATATTCTCAAAAAAATATACACCCGGGAAAACGTCATTGTGCTTTTTTTTTCACCAGAAGAGTTAGCAAGGTTATTTTTATTGAAAGGGTTAAGCCCGCTCCTGATCGCATATCGATAAAACTTCTAAAAGTAAATAACTTGCTTGACAGTACTACGACGGCTATCATGTTTTCCGCCAAAATGACGCTGATTCAAGCGCGCGCACTATTCAATATTGAGAAAATCCTTGTTCTCGTAGTCATACTCGTCTTGGAATCTGGAGCTCTCTATTGATCAGTTTAAATACACTTGAAAGAAAAATGTGGGCCTGTGTTTAGTCACTGAATTGTTAAAACTGACGTCATTTGTGGTGACGGGTGTCTCTCTAATACGGGCATTTTGCTCTGTCCCTTCAGCGTTCGTAAAAGGCAGGTTGGACTGTACATTATTTTGTGCAGGTCTTATAAACAGTCTGAATAAAAGCCAAATTCTCTAAACTGACGAACTCGTACCGGTAGTGAGTGAAGTAGCCCGTGAAGGAGTATATGTCCTCTGGCCTTCTTTATTTCATGAAATTAAGCGGCCTTATGCCGAAGCACTAGATGTTGCGTTCATGCGTTGAGTTCATGTGTGTGTGCGTGTTGGGGGGAGGGGGGGGGGGGGGGGGGGGGGGGGGGGGGGAAAAAATCTGGGTCCGTAAGGGAACGGGGGGGGGGGGATAGGGTAAGAGCAAGGGAGAAGGGGAAGAGAAGGACGGGCGATCTGTGTATTTTTTATACAGTAAAAACATAAACGGGCCGTGGGACAGGAAAAATAGGTTGTGGGTGGGGGGGGGGGGGGGGGGGGGGGGGGGGGGGGGTGGGAAAGGGGAGTGGAAAAAATCTCGGTCCGTTAAGGAACAGGATGGTGTCGATAGTGTAAGTGCAAGAGAGAAGAGGAAGAGAACGACGGGCGATCTGTGTACTTTATTTACAGTAACAACGTAAACTGGCCATGGGACAGGAAAAAGTCCACACCAAATTACGTAATATTTAAGAAAGAGAAACGTTTCAGCTCCAGCTACGAGCGTTCGTGAAAAACCTTAGGCTTTCAGAATTTGCACAGTAATCAATAAGGTACTAGAATACTTCGCGAAAGAAAACCTGCGCGATCCCGTGAATAACAACAGAAACCGATTTAAATTGACATTTCATGGCAATCAACTTGAGATTTTTGTGAATGGCCGATAAATGGCATTTGCTTTCAGCGCAATCAACTTGAGATGGAATTTAGTCTAACTACTGTTGTTTGAATGGGCCATGATCTAAATTGTGGCCCATCGAAACTGTGAGATTAGTAGTTTGAAAAGTAAAAGTTTGTTCCGTCCTTTGTGTATGTTTGAAATTGTTTATTCATATGTGCGTCTTTCATAAATAAAATCACTCTGAGAGCGAGCGAAAATGAATCTCTCGCACGTCTTCAAAGAGGGAGGAGTAGACTACCACAAAAATATTAGCAAGTGCAAAGCTGTTTGCTTAGTATTATGTCTTGCCTAGTGTTGTGGGTGTCATATATTTACTTTTCATTAATTTTCATACGACGTGTTTTTACTAAAGATTTTTCTATCGTCTTTTACTATTACATCTAACACAATAATTATGGAAGACAATTCTACATTGCCCGCATGGCATGATAGGGAGTCGCTTTCGAGTATCTGTGATATTTCTGGAGACTAAAGGGCCGAAGCTGAAATCTATGCCGGCAATTATGTGAGCTTTCTATCCTCGTTTTGTTTTCATTCAGATGTACTTTGTTAATGCCAGAGAAAATTCATTAAAGGCAATAGTTGACAAAGGACGAACCACGAGCTAGAGACTGACTTAACTTTGCTTGGTTTGAAAGACGTTTTTAATAACAGATAACCAATCTTACAATTTGACGGGAGCCTTGTGTGTAAGGCCGACAGTCAAAGTTTTTCAGTGTATGAAACCTTGCCTAAAAACGAAACCGAAGAATTGAGTTAGGTTCATTTTTGGGCTCGTCTTTCTCCTCTAGCGGCCTAAGATGGGCAGTAGAAATGTAATGTAAGCAAATTATGTCCAATCTATATACTCACCAGTACGAGACGATAGTAAAGATTCTCTTCAGTGATCCAGAGTTTTGGTTCTTGCTTTGTATTCAGTGGCAGCTGCAACATAAAAATCATCTGATAATTGATCAACACATTAATTCACTTTGTTGACACGGGGAAACAGGGAAACCTTCGATATTCGCAATCCAAATGTACGTCAGAAATTCCAATCAAAACACTCGTGGTACAGATACTAATCCCGATCACTTGTGACGTCTTACAGTAGTCGTGATCTGATTCCACTGCCATTGCTGAGCGCCAAAGGGGTATAATTGCTGATAATATATTCACGGTAAAATAGCTGGTTCACGTGACACGGCATGAAATCTGTAGGTGATATAATGTCACTTTCGACTGTGCTCACTTACAGTGAGCATGCTGTGTTTCATGAAACAGAAAGATAATTCTAGAGTCTTGACAACAAGGCCCGGTTAAGTGCAAACAAGAAAAAATTTAATTTGGTGTCATATTGCTTCCGACGGGTCCCGCTTACGATAAGCAATTAACGAATTGCAATCAATAGACTTAGTCGTTTGACAGGTGCCGGGAAAGAAAGTAACCATGGCAGCATATCACGAGAAAAAGGAAAATCAGATCGTTTCTGATGATCTCTTTCATAGCTTATGAGAAAAAAGGATTTAATTCTTTAAATTTCCAAAAAATATATTTCTTTAAAAAGGCAAACTAACTAGCATCTCCTGGTGTCTCGTTCATTTGTGTTAATTTTCAGTTCTTTATGCGTTTAATTACGTATCATTTTGCACGGTAAAATGAAGAGAAAAGACTACAAAGTGAAATACCTTACTCTTATAAATTTGCTTCGAGATAAAACCACAAATAACAATAACAAATTCGAGTGATACTAAGACTTTGGCGCGTTTTGCAGGTGATGGGTTCTGGATCTTTTTCCCCCAGATGTACTTTTTTGTTTACAAAAAAGCTTAACTGTAATAATTTCTTAACTCGGACGGAATATTAGAAACGCTGGTTTCCCCCATATTTTGGGGAAATACAATAGTTATGGTTCCGAAGTTCAAACACAGAGAATACAGAAGTTGTCTTTATATGTATTTACGAGAAGTTAATTGTTTTTAGAAAGTCTAACCAGAGTAGACTCAGAGTGCAAATTTGCGTCTTATTCAATTTTTTTCTTCATTTTTTCGTCTCTTGTAATTTTCTTGCGCTGTTAAATAACCCGACTGGGAGACAAGAAGCCGGGGCTTGTCTCAATAAGCGTAACTATTCTCAAAAATTGCGGGGGATGCAAGATATGTATAAATATCGTTTAAAACAAGGCTGGCGACAGACTCAAATTTGCCGCAACCAAATATCACAATGATGATAAATTTGGCTTTCTTCTGTGATACGTTTTGGAAGCGGCTGTCACGCTGACAGTGCCAGTATATAAACGGCTTGAAACATTGCTCTGTCATTTATTAGCAAACAGTTGTGACTGAAATACGAAAGTGACACCAGACAAATCAAGACAATAGACATCTTTCGGCTTTGTTTTTTGAAAAACACACAAACAGCGACACCCACGTTAAACAAAGACAATGCTTATTGTATTTGTAAACTGAAAGAGGTAGATTTGAATAAATCTACACACTCTGGGTTCGGATTTTCAGAGACTTCCATATTTAAGATCTGTAAAATTCCGAAAGTAACGACTCCTAGAAGTAGCGTCAGTATTCCACTGTCTTTGGCAAATCGCTAAAGTTGCGACTCTCAAAAAGTGGCGAGCTCAAAAGTTATTTACCTACTCAACATATCTAGAAAGATACAACGAAAACGATAGATAAAATAAGCTTATGCGACTTTCATTTTTAATGATTTTTATGTGATTTGATGCTTTTTTTTTTCAAAGATAGGATAATACATAACTCTTTAAGTACAAAACACATTTTTCAAAGGTCTGTAGAATACTCGTTGCAGGCGAAATACGGATGCGTAGAAGAGGTGTACGTTTTAGTCCATGTATACCTTACACATTTTAACAACCCTTTCGACCCCCGCACCGAAAATGTGCGACCCTCCAAATGTACCCATAGGAAAAGATTGCTAAATCCGAAGGCCTTAACTTTCGGAGCTTTACTTGGCATGCGCAAAGTATTAGACTAGTCTGGGGTAGCAAATGAGAATTAAGATCTTATCATAGGGCTTAAAGTTTTAAAAACGCTGTTTTTCCCGTACTAGTGTGGACTGATGCAAACGGACATTTAGGAAAACGGTGACGTAATAGTATATATTATCTCGCTCGAAAAAAAATAACAGTTTGGCAAAATTTTTTGTTAGGACTGATAATAATTCTTAAGTCAACTTTTCTTTTATAACGCTTCAATGTTCAGTAAAGACGACGATTCTCATAAACAACAGGATTCGATTCCTAAGAGTGACCTCCAACCCTTGTTTCGTCTGACTTACTTCCTTTCCTCGTAGTTTTAAATACTGGTAAAACGGAGCACTGAGAGAGAGGGGGTCAAATGAGCCGCACATCGTTGGCCTCAGATTTGTGAGTCTAAGGGTACTGTTACGAGCTATTTAGAAGTCTACATGCAAAACCTTTTGTGGTTTAGATTAGGATCTCTACCAAGCACTGAGTTACCGTAAAATTCCGAAAATAAGCCCTGGGGCTTATATTTTTCAAAGGCCCTTTTTGAGGGGCTTATGTTCGGAGGGGCTTACCTATGGAGGGAAATTTGCGTTTCAGAGTCGATTGGGCTAGCCTTATGGTTGAAAGGAAATTTACCCTTTTTGCTTTGTTTTACTTTGTATTTGAGGGCAATTTCCAAGTACAAGCCCCCCGGGAGGGGCTTATATTTGGAGGGGCGATTTAACGGAGGGCTTTTTGCGTTACGAGTTTGGGTGCTTACATTTGGAGGGGCTTATTTTCGGAATTTTACGGTATTTCAGAGGAGGAAGTAGAGATTTTAGGAATGATTTAGGTCAATCCGGATTAAAAGGTTTCCGTTTTCAAACAGGAGCCGATAAATGTCTACGGATGAAAACAATTCGAAAACGCTACGTGCGGCTGAGTATGTTTTTGAAGAAAAAAGAAAAGATATACGTTTTCAAATAAAAATGAATACGTGTGAACCACCCCTCCCCCAAGTCATCATTGACACTTACTGCTCACTTGGGGCAAAATTGTGCCTTAGGGGAGGGGGTAAATGAATAAAAAAGTGTGAGATCGGCTGGGTCTTTCTCACGACCTAAACAATAATATTAAGGTCACATGCCTTATTACGCATTCAAAACCTTGATAAAAAAAGAATTTTTCTTTGAATTCTCTTCAGGAAGTGATCGAAATTAGCCGACTCGAGTTACACTAGGCTAGCGATTGGAGGCGTAATTTTGAATGTTTTTGGCGGTTGACAGTTGTTACGCGTAAACTACAGGTAAAGGATCTGGATTATCTATTGCAGGGGTCATCTAGATCTTGTTTTTACCACAGATCATACTGACGTCCCATGTAAGAGAATCCGGATTCCCGATTCCGGAATCCGAGAAATTTTTGCTTGTAAAATCAGGAATCCTGAACTTTGGAGTCCGGAATGCAGCTCAAGGAATCCGGAATCCAAGTTCCACTGACAAAGAATCTGAAACTGGCCGGTACCTGGAATCCGGAATCCACCGTGTGGAATCCAGAATCCAAGACTGTCTTGGATTACCCTAGGAGGAGAGGTGACTGTCTGAAGTGGGTTGTAAAGTTTTGCATATACTCTGAAAAAGCTAAGTGGTTTTTGATACGAGGACGAATCCAAGACTGAAGACACTTCTCGGTAACTCCTATCAGCCAACTGCGGAGTACAGCAGAAGTGTAAAAGACACAGAAGGGTTCAAGTCAGCATGTTTGGTACCGTGCGTGCGGAATGCAGCAGGCGGGATCGAATCAATTGAAGTCAGTGAAAGACTTCAGATCACGGCAGTCAATTACTTCCACCTAAAATTATCTGTCCTTCTCTGACTTGGTTAAATGACCAAACTGATAATTCTTTTTAAAACGTTTTTTCATGTAATCTTCTGAGTAATGGGTCAGAGGCCCACCGCTAACACTGCATGAAGCTTCACGAATTCGTGCAGTGGAAAAAACTTCAACGCAGAGGATGAATTTGGCTCCTTTACTTATGAAATGAATCGAGTCAAGAATAGGAAAGGGAAGAAGGAATTACCCGGTTAATTCACCTGCTGATGAATATGAAAGGTCAAAAATAGATTCTCTTTTGAGCAAAATAAATGATATTGAACCAACCTAGATCCGCACATCAACGTCACTTGGTTCTGGGTTCGAACGTTTATACGGGCAACCTTAAGGCGTCAGGAATGCTTCTGTTATTTAAACCTGGCCTGCATCATGCGACAGTGTTTTTAAATTAACCCGCACTTCCTCCGTCCTTGAACTGATCATTATTATTGCTAAAAAATTTTAAGTGCCAAGCGTTAATGAGTGTTAAGAGCGCAAAACAATTATGCCTAATGGAAAACCTGTTAACAATAGTCATTATAAAGTGAATACCTTGCCATTAGGAGCAATTTTTACAAAGAAAGACTCGATGCTTAAATAGCACCGTAGGCATGAAAAGAAATACCCAACACGAAAATCATTGGAAAATAAATATGATTCTCATTAGCGTTGCCCTTTATCTTAATCTTTCAGTTCTTTGAAAACAGATTCTTGCTCCTAACTGTATTTTTGTTTCATAGAAGTGATTGTAGGGATTTCACTGAAGTTAAAGACATTATTAAATCACTACTAACTTCATTCCAGTAAATGTTTTGGTCGCTAGCGAAAGATGTTGTGATTAAGAAAGAAAACCTGTTTTCTTTTCTTGTATAGTTTCAGCTGGTTTTCAAAAAGAAAAACATGCCTAGGGCTCCACGCTGTGCTACGCAGACAAGAAACTTCGAGGCGATAGTTTTTATTTATTCGCGAAAGCCAATAACAATTTGCTACCGAACAAAATCTAGAAAGAAAGTTTATTCGAGTTAAGGAAAAAGGCTATCCATGATCTTCAACAACCGTGATTAGCACCAGTTTGGAGTAACAAGAGACTAGTAGCAGACTAATAAATAAA